CTCTTTGGTACCAGTTGCATCTAAGAGAATGAACTCTATTTAAGGGATTGGTGTGGGTGTTTTATGTGAACAGTCCCTTATAACCCTATGAGTTAAGAGTTTACTGTTTCCATTTCATGCTATTCTCTGTATAATGCTCTATGTGATTTTCCTAAAATACCAGATTGACTTCATGGTATAGCACTACCCAGAATGTTCTGTGGTCAAAATTCCCTTTCTAAGTTGACCTTGTGATTCAGTGTCCTTCTCTCCATTTTGTGCCTAACCTGTACACTCCAGTAGGACACACGTTCTCTGTGGCTCTCCTCTAAGCTATTTGTTTTCTTCCCTCTGCTCTGCCCTTTGGCTCCCATTCACCAGGAATGGTTTTCCATACCCAGCCTGCCCAATGAACTATTTATCTTCAAAGTACTTTTCAGGTGTCCTTTCTATAAAGCCTTCTCTGAACACATTGGGAGTCATGCCTTCGACTATTGCATGCATCGCAGAGCACTGGTTAAATGGCATTCACGTCTGCCTGACAGAGAGGATGGCCAATGAACATTTGCTTAACTGACTTGGCCTCTCCTAGATGGGCCTAAAAGCAGGCAGGTTGTGAAAATGCTGTTCTAAGAATTCCCATGGCATGTGAACAACCTGGAGTGAATAGGGCATTTAGAAAGAAACTATCCACAATACCAAAACAAGATGCACAAATATTAACTCTCAGGCAACTAATCCTGGCAAAATTTTAAAGCTTGCCTGGGCATGAGAATCGACAAAACAAGAAAGAAAAGAAAAGAAAAAAAACCAAACCCAGTCTTACATGACTAGAACGTCTTTGTGTTTACATAAAAAATAAAGGCCTAAAATGTACTAAGAAGTTGCCTTAGAGAAGTCACTCAAATAGAAACCAATACGTGCCATCAACCTTCAACACGAAAAAGGACACCTCATCCTCCATACTAGTGAAGGCAACGTGAAGAGATATAGAAAGAATAAAAGTGAGGTGAAGAAGGTTGATAAATCAATGCTTCTAATATTTATCAATCTATCAATATACTTTTTATTTCAAATTTTGTGTTCTTGGAAGTAGTGCTATGGCTCAAGAGGTAGAGTGCTAGCCTTGAGCTGAAGAACTCAGGAACAGTGCCCAGGCCCAGAGTTCAAGGCCATGACCAACAAAATAATAATAATAATAATAATAAAATTTTGTGTTCTTCACAATGTTTATTTAAAATAACAGGGTCACAGGAAATCCAGGACTAAAAAGTCCATATATGTATATGCTTGTAAAGATTCACAGTTCTGTATGTACACGTACACGTACACACAGACACACACACACACACACATTCACAAACACAAACACACACACACACAAATATATATACCCAGCGCATACAATGTCTGATCTCATTATCATTAATGGCATGATTAATACAGCTCAATGAACTTCATTTCTTCTTCATCTGTAAGACCAAAGCTGCTCTGAATTCAGGCCTGCTATGGCTCCATGTAATGCAACAGCATCAACATATAGGCACCTACATTTATTCCTGGAAAAAATGTAAACACCCACTTATTTGTAATCCACTTAGATTCAAGCTTATTTAAGAATGTGACTTGGAAATGTGGACCTCTTGTTAAAAGTACCCATTACAGTTGGGTATGAGTGTCCATTGCCTATAATCCTAGCTACTCAGGAGTCTGATATCTGGAAGATCAAAGTCCAAAGTCAGCACAGGCAGACAAATTCACAAGCAACTATTTCCAATGAGCCAGAACAATGCCAAACTGGACGCATAGGTCAAGTGGTAGAATGCTAACTGTGAGCATGAAAGTTGAGTGAGAGCATGAGACTCTGTGTTCAAGCCCCAGTATCAGCACCATTAAAAAAAACTATCAGATACTTTGCCAAGATAGAGATGCTTAGACATTTTTTATGTTTACAGTCTTCATTTCCATCTCTAAAAATATAATGAAAATATCTCTTCATCACCTCTCCCTACTATAGGGAGAATAAAAAGAGCCAACAAATTTTGTCTTTGTCCTAAAGAATAGTTGATGAAAAATGTTCATGCCCAGAAGGCTCTAGAATGACAGTTTTCCAAATCTGCTGGATAAAAATGAAGACTTCTGGACCCTGTCTCTTAGTTCCTAGTAAGCAATGGTCCAATGGCTAATATAGTGGCTTTCCTTTTTTAAGCTCATCCAGCCCCCACTCACCATCTTCCTGGAGAGAGGCAGGATGCACAATTTGTCTAACTATACCCTGAATCGAATTTAAGACCAATATTAGTAGCTTGTCATTGGTCATAGGAATGTTTAACCATTGGGAAAAAAGTTTAATGTGTTCAATTTCACTTGGACAACAGATCCATTATTTATTTAACTACAAAAAGGGAAATGTGAAAAAAACAGTATTTTACCAAAATAATATGAGTATATTCCATTTGTCCCTCATTATGCCTTTGCCAAATGAGAACATGTCAATGAGTCAATTCAGTAAATATATATAAAATGCATACTCTGCACTAATGTTGTGCTTGCTGCGGGCTACCATCAAAATCTCTGCTCATAAAGAGTCAAAGAATAGAAAGGGAGTAGATGGAAGAATATCAATTAAAATAGGTTCCTACTGTGTGCCCACTCTGTTCATAAATAGTCTAATAAAAAAGAGAAGGGAATAGATGGAGGAGAATTAGCTAAGTAAGCTCCTACTGTATGCTTATAATGGAGGGTGTATAAAACTCTCCCTACTAGGAATATGAACTGAAATTCAGTAATCTCCCAGGGCTATGTCATTTAGTTAACTGATACTTAAATTCAAATTGGTCTCATTCTGAAATCCCTTTTCCAATTTTTATTAGAAAGCAGAAGGAAGGAAAAAGAGGCAACCACCTATTCATTATTCTGCCACCCTGATTCCAAAACTGTTAATATTTTACTGAATTCTTTTTCATTTTTTTCTACAGAGAGCTTAATTTCATTGTAATCAAAGCAGGTACATTTCACTGGCTCTAGGACCACTGACTGGAAAGGCTCCCTTATTCAATATTGCAACATAAAGAAAAAAAATCACTACCAATTATAGGATGCTATTTGACTACGAAGTAAGCCCAGACTTTGGCAATGTTAAAAGGTAAAGGTTAAAAAAAAAAACAAAAAACGTGTCTTAAGAGTCAGTGACCTGCTACCTGTATCCAGAAAGCCCACATCTTGCTACCCAGCTTCTCGCTAGAGGGGTACAGGTGGGTTTATCACCCAGAGGCACACGTGACCTCCATGTCATATAAGTTCCTTGATTGGGTTGGAAGAGGGTGCCATTTACCTAAAGAGAACTTATTTTGTGTGGCTCCCGGTACTCCTTATGTGTATAGCAGAAATATTTCTTAGCAGGGTGCTGGTTGCTCACACCTGTAATCCTAGCTACTCAGGAGGTTGGTATCTTCGAATTGTGATTCAAAGCCAGCCAGGAAAGTCTGTGAGATTCTTATCTCCTCATAACCACCAGAAAACTGGAAGTGGCACTGCGGCTCAAATTGGTAAGAGTGCTAGCCTTGAACAAAAGAGTTCTGGGATAGTGACCCAGGCCCTGAGTTCAAGTCCCACCACCAACCAAAAAAAGAGAGAGAAATATTGCTTGTTGAGTAATTGCATAACTTAAGCTTAAGAAGAAATTTATGGACAGAAGAAGGTAGAAAGGCCTAAAGACTGGTGAATGTGTAAATATTAAGAAACAGATTATATGTCTACTCAGGAGAGATGAGGAAATGGATAAAACTTTGAACCAGAGCCAATGGCCTTAGCTTTTCAATGTTTATCCTCCCTCAGCTGACCTCTCATTTCTCACTGCCTTCTCTTTGCTGCTCAGGTCTCTACTTCGAGGCTCTTATCCAAGTTTAGTTCCATAGCAATACTTGATACTGCTGCCATCTTGGCAAGTTATTCACACTTACACTTGGTGTGAACACCAATTTACATTGGCTTGGGGAAACCACCCAATAAGTTTAAGTTAGAACCCATATGGAATCAACCCAGGAATCAGCAAGAGGCAGATAGAGGAGTTATTTTTCAGAAAACGCTGAAACAGACTAATGGATGGTGGTCCTTCTGCTTTTACAGAAAGTCTGACTGCCCAGGGGGTTAAAGGCTTTGATAGTTTGAATCTGTATGATTAGGCACTTCAACTTCCTACATAACAATGTCCCAGGGTATGTGCCTGAATTGGCAAAATGAGCTTGAAACAAAAAGAAACCGAGCTAGACGCATATTCATGCATGTTCCATGTTGAATATAAGATTGATGCATTGTAATTTCTCCTGTTTCCTTATGTCTTTCCTCTATGTACCTAATAACAATCTATCTGTGTTTCCTGACGACATAGGATGGACTGTGTCCTGTCCTCTAAGAGACAGGATGACGGGTCAGAAAATTCTGATCCTACTAGAATCGATCTTACAGACTAATACGGAAGATTACATAGAGTGAGCAGAACTTCTATCAGAGAGTTAGAGGTAAGGTGTAACCAGAGTGACAGACAGAACAGGTACATGCAGGTGTCAGACCAGTTAGGGGAGATGTCACTCATCTAGGGTATAAAGGATGAGAGAATATGGATTGTGGGAATGGACAGAGATTGAACAGCCAAGCAAGGACACAATGTGTCTTGTGTTTTTCTCTCTCCTGGGATGCTGATTGTTCAGGAGCAGGATAACATGTTGGGGCCTATTCTTAAGGTCTCAGAGCCAATGGGTCCATAAATGGAGCATTGCTTGGGCTGACTGGGCAATTATTGACTATGTCATCAAGTCATGCTATTTTAGGGCAAAGCGAAGGAAATACGTTAAGATTATTATGCCTGTTAAGTCTGAAGTTTTAGTAGAAAATCCTGAATGTTTAAGTCTGATGTCTAACAGAACCTTTGAAAACCGCAAGTGCTTTGCAGAATCTCTACAAAGCAACAACAGCACAACATCACTTTCTAACATTACAGCAACTTCCAGTTCCCCACTTACCTTGGACGTGGATACCATTTGGTTGAAAAGAAGAGCTTGTCTCTGGCTGATAGGACTTCAGGTGTGCGCCTGAGGACTGTTGGGTATGAGAAGGCTGTGTTCTTTGCAGGGCTGAGGAGGGAGCTGGAACTCTCCGGGGGCTGATATGGTGAGGTGAGAGAGCAGGAGTGGCGAATCTGAGAAGACAAAAGTATAATAGGCAATATGATAAAGTGGCAGGAACAAAGACAGACTTTCCACAGCCAATAATAATTCCTCCTCCTCCTCCTCCGCCTCCCTCTCCTCCTCCTTGTCTTCTTTTGTGTTGGTACTGGATCTTGAACTCAAAGCCTGGGTGCTGTTCCTTAGCTTATGTCTTATTTACTCAACACTGGTGCTCTACCATTTAAGCCACTGCTCCACTTCCAGCTTTGTGCTAGTTAATTGGAGCTCAGAGGCCCATGGACTTTCCTGCCCAGGCTGGCTTTGAACTGAAATCCTCAGATCTCAGCCTCTTGAGTAGCTGGGATTACAGATGTGAGCCACTGGCTTCTGGCTCACAAGCCTTTTTTTTTTTTTTTGGCCAGATCTAAGGCTTGAACTCAGGGCCTGAGTCCCCAGGCTCCTTTTGCTCAAGGCTAGTGTTCTTGAGCCACAGTGCCATTTTCAGGGTTTGTTTGTTTTTTAATTGGAGAGAAGAATCTTACAGACTTTCCTGCTAAGGCTGGCTTCAAACTGTGATCCTCAGATTTCAGCCTCCTAAGTAGCTAGGATTACAAGTGTGAGTCACAGGTACCCAGCTCCCAAGCCAATTTTAAGGCCCAATTCTGGTTCTACACAAGTGAGAACCAGCCTTTTGTTTAAAAAAGCCTTCAGGATCTCCCTCGATAATTCTAACCAATGAGTTCTTGGTTGAGATGTTGAGGGAAGAAAAAATACCCACAAAGAAAAACTCAAAGTCTGCGTTTGTCAGCCTTCTTCAACTTCACACAAGTGGTTTCCTCTTTCTTGCTTTTGTTCCTAATGTATTTATAATGTACCATGTGATTTTTTTTTGTTTCTTCGTATGTTCCTCCCCCCTGGTATAACCCCTGTTTTCACTGTATTTGATGTCAGTGCCCTGCATCTTGTATATAACACTTCTCTGGCTTGGGGAGGGGAAGGGAAAAAACAAAATGCTTAAATAAGGATACAGGTTGACTCATTGTAACAATGAGATGTACAAGACACAATATTGAAAAATGAACTTTACAATTTAGGCGGGGGGGGGGGGGAGGGAAGAAGGGGGAAGTGTAGTTGTGGAGGTGGGAGGGAAGGGATGGTAAGGGAAAAACAAAGGAGGTAACAATGCTGGATAGGAAATGTACTCATTACCTTGCTCATGTAACTGTAACCCCTTTGTATAGTATCTTTACAATAAAAAATGTATTTAAAAAAAGATGAGATAGCAAAAAAATGTTAGTCTGATTCACTTAATATCACTTTACTCTCTATGTGTTTCATAACATGATGCTCTATACTTCAAATATATCCTGTAAAAAATTATTTAATAAACAAATGAATAGGTTTTCCATTAAAAAAAAAAGATTCTAGGTTTGGTGAAATTCAAAATGTATCTGTGTCAGGCCTTCTTTTCCCCCTGCTAGTTTTTAAATCCACTGGCATTTCAGGGGAATTTAATCCGTATGTTTCTGAATCATTTACACTTAGCTCATAAACATTTTGTTTTGTAAAACATGTCTGAGGTCCAAGAAGTGTTACAACTCTTTCTTATGACCCTCTGTAATTCTTATTCTCTTTAAACAATACATTTTCTTTTTTTCCAAGAATAAATTAACTTAAACCTCAAAGGTCAAGTGTGGCTCGAAACCCAGAACCCAGGAGGTCTATATGGGTTCGGGTGCTTGGCAAAGGACACTCCTAAGGGAGTGGAGTGAAGGCAATGTAGGACATCTTTTGTAGTAAATGTGATAGCCACAATTTATGTATTTAAACAAGGTGAAATCACTCCATGACCTGGGATACTAACTACACTGCTCGTCTGATTTTAAGGAAAAGCTGGCGAGATCTGAACCACTGGGTTTAAAATGACAGTTTATCCTTTCTTCTTTCTTTTGGCAACACTGGAACTTGAACTCAGGGGCCTCAAGCTTGCAAGGCAAAGACTCTACCATTTGAGCCATACCTTGAGACTCTTTCTCCATTTACCCCCTCCCTGGCTCCCTCCCTCCTGATCCTGGGGTTTGAATTCAGGGCCTGAGCTCTTTTGCTCAGAGCTGATTCTCCACTACCTGAATCACAGTTCCAACTTTTCAGTGGTTAATTGGAGTCAAGAATCTCACAGAATTTGCTGCCCAGGCTGGCTTCGAACTTTGATTCTTAGATCTCAGCTTCTTGAGTGGCTAGGATTACAGGCATAAACAACTGGCTCCCGGCATACAGTAGATACTTTTAAACAGGGTCTCCCTTTATGCCAGGGCTGGCCTGGGCTGTGATCCTTTTACTTGTGAATCACTGTGATGCTAGGAATTACAAAACATGTACCATTGGACCCAGCCAGTAGGTCTCCCTCTATTTAGCTGGAATGACAGTTGTACACCACCAAATAGCCACTGGCTGAGATGGGGTATTGCAAACTTTTACATCCAGGCGGGCCTAAAACCACAATACCCTTATCTTCACCTCTCAAGTAGCCAGTCTATTCTTGCTAACACCAAAGCAAAGGTGTCGTTGGGAAAACAATGGTACAGCTAGACACTGCACAGAGTAGCCAAATGACACTTCGTTTTCCAGTTCATCAGGGGCTACCATGAGTTATTGCAGTGAAATGAAGCATCAGAATCAGATGGGGTTAAAAATAAGTGAATAATGAATTATTTAATCCCCCACCTCCGAATAAGAGACTATTAAACTGAAACTTAATGAGCTCTTTTTAACACTGTGTGGAAACACAGGCTCTCTCGCATAGAGGTCGCCATCTGTTTACATCATCTCTTTCACAGGAACAAGCAACTCCATTTGGTGGGGGCTTTTGTGAAAGATGATAGATGATAAAAAAAAAAAAAAGGGAAGATGAACCAGCAAGTTCATGAAGTAATTCGAAATATCCTGAACCAGAATATCTAACAGCTTTCTCTGTTTGTGTTGCAGGAGTAAAAAAGTAGGGGACAAAAATGTTCAGATTCTTTTTGTTTTCCCATCTCTGTTAGGAGGTCTGATGAGACTGTAAGGAGAAATCATGACGGGAGATCTGGTCTTGTAGCCTCTAAAGTACAGCGGGCAGTGGAGGCATCAGTAAAGCAGCTGGGTAAGGAGGTCAGTTCTCGGATCTCTTATGTTTTCACTCTACATAAGGAGAGCAGGAACTAAGGGAGCTGTGCTAAGCAAATGTGTTTTCCTAAGCACATCATTTGAAGTGGAGTTACCCTGCAAAGATGTGCTGACTGACCACCAGAGGAAACAAAGCAGATGCATCTTGGCACTGCCCTGAGAACATGTAGTAAAATGCATATGCTAGGTTTCCTTGCATGGAAGCTATTTCCAGAAGCCATGTGTCCTTCAGGTGTGTCCTAAGTTGCTTTGAGGTTGTACGGGAAGAATGAGAAATCACAGAATAACAGACTTTGGGGCAGAAGGCAATCTAAACTGCCTTCTAATCCCTGGGTCCCAAGACATCAGTTTTCCCTGATGTCTCTATTGTGTTGGGGAGGGGGGTGCGGAGCAAAGGAATAAGATATTTGGATTGTCTAGTTTTAGTTCCTTGTTTCAGAATGAAAGATTGCAACAGGCCTGGTGGTGGTTGTTTACACCTGTAATCCTAGCAGTACTCAGAAGGCTTAGATCTGAGGAGCATGGTTCGAAGCCAGCCAGTCAGGAAAGCCCCGGTGAGACCCTTATCTCCAATTAACTACTAGAAAACCAGAAGTGGAGCTGTGGCTCAAAGTAATAGAGTGCTAGTATTGAGCAAAAGAGCTTGGGGACAGTGCCCAGGCACTGAGTTCAAGCCCCACAACTGATCAAAAACAAAAACAAAGAAACACCTAACAAAGATTGCAATATGTTTTCCGTGGTTTTCTGAGTTCCTTCTGGTGCCTCAGTTACCTTTCTTCTGTTGAGAACTGAAGGAACAAAGAGGAGCATTTGGCAAGTTCATTCCTCATATAGTCTATTGATAAGAGGAGGAGGATCCTCTTCCACAATCCCCCACCTCAACCAGACCTGTAAGTCTGACTCTCAAACACAGCTGATTATCATGGAGTACAAAAGGTGGGGAAAAAAAGGGAAAAGAGGTAAAGTTTCTCAAAAGTGCAAAATCTTACAGTTCTATAATTTAGAAAGATCTAACCAAGGGTTCAATTAACATTATTAGCACTACAAAGGGGAAGCCTGAACAAAGGTGAAAGGCCAAAACTTATTTGAACATTTCAGGAATCATTTACAATGCAGACACAATGTCTGTCTGTCTGTAAATTCTCTATAGATGAATGATCCTATACAGTTACGTGGGAATTGCGAATCATCTTTAACTAGTCATTGGCTAAAGTTCCAAATCCTGGTCTTTTTTTATTGTCTGGTTGATATACAGAGGGGTTACAATTACACAAGTAAGATAATAAGTACATTTCTTATGGAACACTATAACCCCCCCCCCCCTTCCTCTTTTTCTCCCACTCCAAACTCTGGCCTTATTACTTGCCTATCAAATATTATTCAATATAGAACAACACTAATTAAAATTTAAAAATGTAGTAGGCACACAACCCCAAGGTTTTAGTATTGTTATAGTGGGACCTGGGAGCATTATGCCTCCCACCCCTTTACAGGTTGCTTTTTGTTAATTTAGATTGGATTTTTTGTTAGTGAAATAAATGAGATAATATGGCCTAAAGCAATATAATTTCAGAAGCTGTTATATTACCTCACATAAAGTAGCTTTAAAGCTTAAATTATTCTAAGAGATTACATGTGTACATAAAGTAGGCTTTGATCTGAAAAGAAACCAGCATTAAAGTTTTAACTTTTACATCTACAGAGAATGAAACGTACTAAGAAGTGATCACTGTTATCATGCCATTGCTATGAATAAGAGAATAAATGAATGATAAACTAACAAATAAGAGAATTCATAACTTTAAAAGTCTAGCATATAAGTGAATTTATAAGTAGGATTAAAAGCTAGGGCTGGTGGCTCATGTCT